CACTACACTAAAGACATCAATAGGATTATGTTAGAACTTGAATCACTGATAAACTATACCCAACAATAGTAATCCATTCACTTCCCTCCCTAATTTCTTCTTCTTTTTTTTTTCAGTGGTAAAGTAATTTAATTTTATTGACTGATGAAAAACTAAAGTGATATGAAGACTGGGTAGTAAACAATAATCATTGTGTTCTGCTGGAATTCTATATTTTTTCTTTTAACTTTAAGCCAAAAGAACATAAAATTGTAGACTATGAGTAAGCTAGTTGCTTTTAGTTCCTTCAACAAAAACACATAGTTTAGCAGTTGGACAGCATTAAATATACACATTTTTTCCCAAATCCTATAAATATTAACTCTTGTGCTGACTTTAAAGGCTAAGTAATCACCTACAGTGGTCAGATTCAGAGTTTCTTTTCCCTTTTCTGCCACCGTGGTGTTTGGCTAATTCTGCCTAATACTTTCACTTTAGATCTTTCTTGTTCTAAAGCAGCATGAAGTGAAGTCACCTGTATGGTTAGCTCATTCGTGATGCTTTGTGATTCATCAACTTGCAGAAGTATTTCTGCCTTATCTTTCATTTCTCCCTCCTGAAGCATCTTTAGTAATTGTCCATTTCTTGCCTTTACTTCTTTATACTTTGCCTCCCACTGGGTGATCACAGTTTTGAGCTTCTGAATTTCAGCATCTTTCCTTTCAGGTTCTAACTTCAGTCTTTCAATTCTTCTATCTTTTAGAACCACCTCCTGGTTGTATTCAGGAGCTGTACAATTATCTGTTCCATTGTATTCTGTAGGTTGTTCTCTTCTTTTTTCTTTAATAAGAATTTATGAACATCATCTTCTAGTCTAAAAAATATGGAATGCTTCACAAATTTGCATGTTATCCTTGTGCAGGGGCCATGCTAATCTTCTCTGTATAGTTCCAATTTTAGTATATGTGCTGTCGAAGCGAGCACCCTAATTTCTTTCAATAGAATTTTTTGTTTGTTTGTCTGTTTGGGAATGGGTGCTATATGTGCATGGAAAATATGATTTTCAGGTACCTTTAATTACTAGCTACTTAAATAGTCTTACTTTTTCCTCCACAGTACTGGAGGTTGAACCCAAGGCAAGAGCTCTACCATAGAGCTACATCCCTAGCTCTTAAATATTTAAATCTAAAACTCAAGTTTCTCTTAAGCTTTTAAGCTCATCATAGAAGACTTAGGTTCAGCTGACTCATAAATTTCAAGGATTTAATTGTTCTAAAACTTAGCTCTATTTAGAAACTGAATTAAATAAATTTTTCTACATATTTTAAACTACATTTACAAATTTAATACATCTGATTTTCTCATATGCTAAATTCCTATCAGGGCAATCTGAAAAATATAGTAAGTAGGATTTTTAAAGTACCCCAGCACTTCCTACACATCCAGTATAAGTCAAGGGGCTGAACCTGTAGTTTAGAAGAAGAGGGGATGCTTAGCATACTAAGGTCCTGGGTTCAACTCCCAACACCTAAAGAAAGTAACAGATTTTCAGGCTAATAATTATAATGAATAAGTCTTATTAAACATTTAAAAACTTTACAAACTTGACTAAATGTGATTAGTCCTTTAAAATTATTATAATCCACGGTTAAATTTTCTTAAGTATGACATATACTCGATTAACTAAAATGTCATCACAGTTGTTATAAGACTTATTCCTAAAATTAAACTTCAAAATTAGATCTGCAGAAGTCTCATTTGTTCATTGCTCTGAAATGGCACTCAGAATCCTGAACTTATTCATAATGTCTAAGTGGAATGAAAACCTGGAGTGCTATAACAGGCCTATGGATTAGACCAGAACAGTTCAGCTGGCTGTAGCAGTAACTCCCAGAGGTTGTGGGATAATGCCTCTGCCATCCCACAACCTATGGAGGGAAGCACAGTGAAGTTAATTGTAGCCCAGAATGATAGTGCTTTGTGCTAATTTCTGGACCTGGGAGGCAGGATTTGCAAAAGTCTTTTTCATGCTTCAAAGCACTTACACTTTATTTCATATTATGTTTAAATAGAGATAATGATATCCATCTCACCTTGCTTGCAATGTAAGTGAACTGATTTTGCGAATATGACTAGGTGCTAATCCAGGGTTAGCTCTTGGCTGAATCACCAGTCTGGGCTCCAGATTTACACAGAAAGGAGGGCAGCAACAGGGACCACTCTGGTGGTCTCTGCTTTCCCTTCCAGCTTCTAGATTGTCACAGCCACGGTGGTTTAACAGTGCCATTAACAGTGTCCTAATTCAGCTGTGTAGCAGGGCAGGACTGGTTGGCATATGACCTGTGTAGTCACACAGGGTGGGCACTTAAAAGGATCCCACACTTGCAACAGGGTCTCAGTATGTAGTCCATAATAGCCTTGAGCTCCCAGCAATCCTCCTACCTAAGTCAGAAAACACTGGGATTACAGGCATGAACTATTATGCCTGGCTTTGAAATACATATATATATATATATAATATTATATATATTTGATGGTCTTTTTGAGACAGGATCTCCCTGTAGCCCCAGCTGGCCTGGAACTCCCTATGTAGACCAGGCTGGCCTTGAACTCACAGAGATCCACCTGCCTCTGCCTCCCGAGTGCTGGGATTAAAGGCGTGTGCCACCATGCCCAGCTTTATTATTATATTTTTTATTGTTTGACAATTTCATACATTTATAAAAAGAATTTCAGTTATTTTTACCCCCCATTCTGCTCTCTCATCTCTCTTTCTTGCTAAAACCCTTCTTCCCCAACAAGTCCCCCTCCTTTCATGACTTCTTTTTGTGTGTGATCCACTGAGTTTAATTAGCATATGGGTGAGCCATTTTTTACTGAAGCAAGGGCATCTTATCAATGGCTACACCACTGAAGAAAATGACACCCCGTCCCTCAGCAATTGTTAACTGTGGGTAGCCCCTCTGGGAGGGGTATAATCTTATGAGCCCCTTCCTCATACATGATAAAAAGTTGATGGGCCCAATCTTGTGCAGGCTTTGTGCAGATAACCATAGTTGCAGTGAGTTCAGGAGTGCGATGGCTGTGTCATGTCCAGGAGACATTATGTTTGCTGCCTATTTCCTATCCTGTAGCTCTATCATTCTTTCTGCCCCCCTCTTTCTTGATGCTCCTTGACCCTTGGAGGGGATAATACAGTTGTCCATTTAGAGATGAGCACTTTGGCCAATTATGGATTTCTGCATTAGCGATCACCCTCTGCAGTAAGAAGTTTCTTTGATGAAGTCTGGGCTCACTGCTGATCTCAAACATTGAACCAGAGCTGGGTTGAAATTATTATTATTATTATTA